ACACAATAAAATGACGGCAGGAGGAAACATGGACAAGCCACAGAGTGTAACCTAAGATCCAGGTTCAATCTTCATGCTCTTTATACATTATAATTACTTTCTTCAAATCTGCAGAAATCTGTAGTTTTAATCGAGGTAAAGTTTCATGTAGTCGCCTGTTTCTGGCGTCACATCCTCTTTGTGTCGGTGTTGAGTTTGTCTGAAGAGTCAGAAGTGACTTTTTATCCAGTTTGAGTCACATTTGTACACTTTTTACATCGGTGGGTTTTAACTCTGTTTAGAGCAGATGAAGGATTTGAGTTGTCAGATGTCTGGATCTGAAGTTTTCAGAGAAACAACATCATCAGAGACTCATCAGAGAAACACTGAGTTTAACATGAAGCTGCTTTATTCACTTTATCACTGGAGTGAACCAGCTGCTCTGTTTGTTCAGAACCAGAATCTGTATAGTTTTTATGGAAGATGAAACAAAATAAAAATGTGTTGAGGAGCTGGAAACAGCTGTGAATCAGATCCACGCTGACCCTGCCGATGACTCACGCCGCGCTTCTCCTCCACCCTCTGTGGGCGGGGCCGTCTGTGCACACGCTGTGTGTATATTTGTCTTGTTTCACTGTAATGACAGTGACTAATCTAACGTGTACAACCTTCAGTGGCGAGGCAGACGGCTTGATAATTAGCCAATTAGGATATTATTATTCCTCATGATGCCTCAGCGGCGGAAGTTTTTTTCCTGCTGGAGGAGGAAAGTAATCTGAAAATGTCATGTTGGAATGAAAACATCCACAGCAACAACAACTGTTTAAACTCAGAGAAGAACTGATAAAAATCAGCTTCACTCAGAAGGACAGACAGAAACTTGCTGCTTTAACTTCTCGTCCAGTCGAAGTGAACTTTACGAATCCATCAGGTTGGATGTTAGCAACAGCAGGTTGATATGATGACTGATGTTATAACTGTACCATGTCGTCATGCTGTAATGTTCAGGATCACGTTCGTCAGACTGTCCATCGCTGCAGCTCCTCTTTTCAGATCCGTACTTTGTCGAGTTCCGCTCAGACCAGATGAACAACTGAGTTCATCACTCATGGTGTTCCTGAGATGTTTGCTGATTCGCTTCTGCCTTGGAGACTTTGTCTGTAACTAGTATGTGTGAGCATTGTTATGTTAAATTTCTGATTGAGCTGGTCATCAGCATCGCTCTGTTAGCAATTAGCACAGTATTAGCATAGTAGCTAGCTCTTTTTGACGTTTTGACAGTTAGGCTATGTTTTTATACAGAAAGGGACATTTATATTTCTGTAGTGACAGTATGTGTGTAACACTTACCTTTTATGTGAATGGGGTCCTGTTTATACTTAACTATGTTCTTTTCTTCTTTTCTCTGTAATGTTTCAGTTTTACAACACAAATCAAACCCAGTATAATACAAGTCAAGCCTTGTGCGTTTATTCTGGATGTCATCTGGCTGCCTAGCTTTGCTCAAGATTTCGCGCTGCAAGGGCAGAACATGTCTTATAACTGTGACAGTCACAGCTGCACCAATGTTCCTAATAAAACGAAATAAATTAAAGATGTAAGATATTCCATATCTTTTCTCATTCATGTTGTAAATATTGTTATTTTGTTGATGTTACACCCAGGACAGGAAGTGATGTCACGTCTGACTTCTCTGTTTCCTGTTTAAAAAGTTTTTCTCTTGTTGAGTTAAATACACACAATGTTGCACCTTCATCAATAAGACAGAACTGATAAATTTTAAATGCTAACCCATGATTTGCTGTTATGGAGCTAAAATATCACAGCTCAAATGAATCAGTTTGATTTGAGTGATGTTATAATCCAGTTTATCATTATTATTCATGATAAGACACAATCTGAACATTTACAAGTCATTGGGAACTGTTTCAGTTCTGAATGTGATGCCAGTGATCGGCCTGCAGAGCTGGAGCCTCAGACCCTGTTGTAGACGTCACATACTCGAGGTTCATCACGTGAGGAAGCGAAGAGTACGCTCTGAATGAAAATGAACGTAGTGTCATTTAATACAGAAGCATGAGATATTTAAGATGTCTTTTAAAGAGACAGAGGTTGTTCTGTGTCTAGTATTCATATTAATAAAGACAGTTCTGAACAGACTTCTGTCTCAGGAGGTCAAACATTAACGTTATAAATAACCCGATACAAACATATCATTCATTTCAATGTTCTCTTATTTGCACAGAACCAAATCATCATATACATTCAAAAAGAAAGAACCAGACTCAATG